GTGTGTGTGTGTGTGTGTGTGAGTGTGAGTGTGTGCGCGCGCGCGCTTGTACATATACACATATATTTTGATTTTGGACAGCGAAATTAAATAATGTCACTTGGTCTATTTTTATTTAGGTCTATGATCTTTAAAACTTCGTCACTGGAGAAAAATAAATTGGCAACGGCTACAGAAGCAGGAAGGCATGAAGAGCTTAAAACAGAGGTGCCCAAAGTGGGGCCCGCGGGCCAAAATTGGCCCGCCGAGCCATTTGATTTGGCTCATCAGCAGTTGCACTGGTTACTAGATTGTAATTATGTTAAGATTAAATATAAAATACAAATAACTACAAGAGACGTTTAGATTAGATTTAATCCCATATATAGATTTGCACACCTTATAAAACCACATGCACTCAAATTTTAAATTATGAAAAGTCCCATGAGCCTTTGCTGCCCGAGCATATGTTGAATATTCTCCATTACATAAAAAAAACCTAAAGAATGTGGGCAACCACACTGGCTGCTAGCTTAATCATAAAAAATAAAACAACTTTACTTAAGTATTTGCATTTCTTGTATTATTGCATTTGGCCCGTGGCCCTCAGATTGTTTTTAATTTTGGCCCTTTCAGGGAAAGTGTTTTTTTTTTAATTTTGGCCTTTTCATGGAAAATGTTTGGGCAAATTACTGGGGGTTCCTGGGTGGGGAGGGGTGCAGCTCTCGCCCTGGGGGGCCCTGGGGGGTCTGGGGGATACTGTATCTTCTGGTGGCTACATCCGGGCTCTTAGGTGGTCTGTGGCGGCGGTCATGGGTTGCTGACCTGGTGGCCTGACTGTGCTGGGGTGGGTTCGGGGTTGGCGTGGGGAGCTTGGGGTTCTGGGGTCGTGCCGCCCCTGGGCTGTGGTTCTGATGGGGTCGGGGGGCTTGAGGCCTAGCAGGTGGATTGCCGGGCTCTGGGCCAGTTTGTGCCCTGGTGCCTGGCTCTGGGCGGGGGGCCTTTTGGTGCGCTGGTGGGCTGCGGGTCTGAAGCTGGGGGGTTGGGTTGGCTGGGGATGAGGACGGTGGCCTGTGGGAGGGGGTAGGCCAACCCAGCCTGGGTGTCTAGCGTRCTATATGTTCTGTGAGTTGTCTGAATGATGGGATGGGTGTAGTATTTCTTCTGGGGTGGGGCTGGGCGGATGGCCGTGGTGGTGGCGGCGGGCTGTGCTGGGTCGGCTGGCTGGCCCCTTGTTTGTGGCAGGGGCTCGCTCTGGGTCCCTGGCGGCTGGGTGTGCGCTCTCAGCTAGATCATTCTTGCTGGGGTTCGGTAGCTTCTTTGGGCTGCCGGTTGGCCGTGGGGCTGGGGGTCAGGTCTTGGGGGTCGGTGCGGCTCTGGGGCGGGGGGTCTGTTGGTCCCGGTTTCTGGCAGTCCTCCGGGCTCTGTCTGTCCGTGATCTAGCGTCTTCCAGCCCTGGCGGTCTGTCCGGAGGAGGAGGTCTTGGGGGCCTCTGTCCCTGGGTGGGTCTCGGGGAGCAGGGGAACCTACTGGGGTCAGTGGGGGAGCTGGCCCCCTGTGGGAGCATTCTTGCTCCCTCAGTTTTTTCCTCCCCA